TCAGTGAGATTTTTAGTTTTTTTTTTTTTTTTTTTTTTTTTGAAAGTTTAAATATTTCTAAAAAAATAATAGTTTCTTTTGTTTTAGGTTGATTTTGATAAACATTTGGAATATAGGTGTTGGAAAATTTTAGAAACGAATGGGAATTGACTCCATTTGAATGAAAGGGTGCAATCATTCATGGTGTCTATTCGTATGAAAGAGTATGAACCCAAGAGACATGACCGTTCTGAAGGTCACAAGTACTTCTATAAATACCATCTCATTCCATGGCTTTGATGCATAAATTAAGGTTTGTTTTAGGATTCATACATTATGTCTAGTCGAGTATATAAGAAAGAGTGCATGGCATAAATTGATTCGCTGTACACATAGAAAGTTGTGTAATTTCTGTGTGGATTGATCGTTGTATCCTGGAGGCAGGATGTCCATTAATTGCAAGCACTAGAGGCGAGGGCGAAATTCTGTCTTCAAGACACAGAGTTCAAACATTGGCCTCAGTCACAATGTGTATTAAATTTACAAAATTTTTGTAAGAAATTTCTTGTGTTTTATTTGATTATTTATTTGCATTAAATTGATTTTACCGAAAATATTTTTCCTACAATTTTAAGAGATAATTTTCCCTATATGTAGTGATACCGATTAATTCTTTTGGTAAAATTAATTTTTTGCATATTGTTTTTCTGCATAATATGTTTCTTGTTTAGAGTAAAACTTTCAGTATTGTCTAATTTTATTCACTAGTAATAGAATCCATAAATGTTGATGATTTGATGGGTCTTAAGGTTTGGTTTGGTTTGGTTTGGTTTATATATCATTCTAAGCTGCAGGAGCAATATAGGAAGAACAAGAAAACTCTGTAGGCTGTGTTTGAAAAATAAACAATGACATCATTGAAGTAGGTCTAGTCTTTATTAACAACCTGTTGACAATGCCACATTAAGAATATCTTAATTTTCTCAAGTTAGGAAATGATTTTCATACTTTGGTTAAGCAAGTTTCTACCTGCCTCATATGATAATCACTAATGACAAGCTTTCTGATTCAACACATGATGAAAGTTACAGGATGGGCTTGACAAAGTACTTCAGGTCACTGTCACCACGAAAATTAATCATATATGTACTTTTTTGCGAGTACTAAAGGTCTTCTCTGCTTTTATTCTTCGATAGATATATCCTAGGACCTTCAGGAGATGGCCACTTTTCTTTGAAGTACTCGTCAGTATTTTCTTTCTTATCTACTTAGACATTCACACTATGAATGAACTTAATTTGTTTTTATTTTCTTCTCTTTCATTTTTTAAGTCTTACCTCACACAAGAATATGATTTCCCCACTTGTGTTTATTAACTTGATCCCACTATTTTTGTCTAGTGATCAAAATTTTGTTCATTCATAGCATTATTATTTATTTATTTCATTTTAGAACTTCCAGTTAGTATTGGTCTCCTCGGCCACCCATGGGCCAATAGCTGACTGAGTCATTTGCATTCACGGAAAAGTATAGATGTGTAGAGCATTAATATTTTGCTGACTTTGGATAAGGATTTTTATTTATATTTATTATTTTATTTTATTTTATTTTTTGCACAAGGATATTTTTCCAAGCAAAAAAGGCTTAAAAGACTTGGATAAGAATTTTCCGCATTAATTTTTCTGTAATAATCGTGTTATGTCTTTTACTAGACCAAAACATGTCACTAAATCTTATAATTTTATTTTATTTATTTATTTATTTTTTTTTTTTGGGTTCAATGGTAAGAACTTACATGCACATCGACTAGTCCCCTCCTAGGTCACGCTGAGACTACGAAGAAATTTCTTTTTTTGCGGCCTCGTCTCAAAAGTTGAACCCTATGTGAGAAGCATACCTACCAACGATCAACGACAATTTTCAAGGTTACTCAGTCTTATAATTCAATTGTTTAAAGTTAACACATGGTCATGTATTAGCCACAATTCTAAATTTCATTTGTGAAATGATTTGTCAGACTTGGTATTGTCGGTGCGCTAATCCAAGAAACAATCTATGGTGCTTACTAACCCAAAAATCATTTTCTGAACATTAATACAAGCAGCTCCATTTTCCATCTCAACACATTGGTTTGAAGTTGGTTTAAATGTGAAGTTGATGAATTTGAACAAAAACATTGTAAGACTAAATTTGCAAAAAGTATTTTAAAAAAAATTATATTAAAAATTTCTACTAGTTTTATGTTTTTTTTTTTTTTTTTTGAAAGTTTAAATATTTCTAAAAAAATAATAGTTTCTTTTGTTTTAGGTTGATTTTGATAAACATTTGGAATATAGGTGTTGGAAAATTTTAGAAACGAATGGGAATTGACTCCATTTGAATGAAAGGGTGCAATCATTCATGGTGTCTATTCGTATGAAAGAGTATGAACCCAAGAGACATGACCGTTCTGAAGGTCACAAGTACTTCTATAAATACCATCTCATTCCATGGCTTTGATGCATAAATTAAGGTTTGTTTTAGGATTCATACATTATGTCTAGTCAAGTATATAAGAAAGAGTGCATGGCACAAATTGATTCTTTGTACACATAGACAGTTGTATAATTTCTGTGTGGAGTGATCGTTGTATCCTGGAGGTAGGATGTCCATTAATCGCAAGCACCAGAGGCGAGGGCAAAATTCTGTCTTAAAGACACAGAGTTCAAACATTGGCCTCGGTCACAATGTGTATTAAATTTACAAAATTTTTGTAAGAAATTTCTTGTGTTTTATTTGATTATTTATTTGCATTAAATTGATTTTACCGAAAATATTTTTCCTACAATTTTAAGACATAATTTTCCCTATATGCAGTGATACCGATTAATTCTTTTGGTTAAATTAATTTTTTGCAAATCGTTTTTCTGCATAATATGTTTTTTGTTTAGAGTAAAACTTTCAGTATTGTCTGATTTTATTCACTAGTAATAGAATCCATAAATGTTGACGGTTTTTATCCGAAATTGTGTCTAACACAAATTTCGATCAAATTTGTTTTCGTTTCTAGATTTATATAATTTGTTTGTCAGTATTTCTGGTTCTCTGGATATTGATTCTCTTGATATGGTATTATTTTATGGAATTTGTTTCTTTATCAGTGTTATGATTAATACTAAATCTGTGCTTATATTCTTCATATTTTTAAAGATTACTAGTATTTATTCGAAATAGAATTTATATCTATTGTGTGTATGATACTCTTCTTTCATATTATGTGCTGTAGATAGGACCTTGTTCTTTCTTTTCCTTACTAAGAGACCAATAGGCCAAAAGGAAAATCTATAGAAGTAATTCAGTTGTCATTCTTTCCGAATCGATTTCTTGTCTTTTAAGACATTGATTTTCTGCTTTATGCATCATTTTATTTCGTCTTGCGATATTATGTTTAAATCCGTTTGTGTCTAAAACTTTTTATTTATTTAGTATGTCTGTATAAAGTTTTATACAGGTTTTTAATTGTGATATCCTGATATCTTCTAATGTTTGTGTTCAATTGTTTACTTACATGAGAGAGTGAAACAGGCTTTGTATTCTGTATTTTTGTTAATCAGTTGTGAACAATTTTAGACTGAATGGGTATAATTTATTTGGATTTCATCTGTGTAATTTGTTATACAAATTTCTAATTATTTTATATTATAAAAACTGTTTTCTTTGAACCAAAAATTCTAATTGTGTATTGATCTAGCCTTTTTCTGATTAAATGATTTGCTGTAATCGATTTGAGTATTGTTGATTTGCAACTATGAACAAAGTATAAAGTCACAAGTAATGCTTTTACGAACAGTAGGCAATGGTTAATACACACGAGGAAGTGACTTTTTGTTTGTGGTGTTTGGAATTTCAAATTTCGAATTTCTTTTAAATCCATTTCATGGTGTTTTGTCTTCTTTGGTTTTAAATTAAAAACAATTGTGTTATTTTAGTTACACTCAAATTTGTTTGTGGTTTGAGAACTTTTTTATCTTAATTTGTGGTACTGTGCATGATAAATTTATATATGTTAATCTATTCATGCGACCCATTCTTTTGTATGATACGTATTATATGTATGTACAGATGTGAATTCATGCTATTTTTGTTAAATTAACTTCATATTATTGGGAATGATAAATTGAT